ACAGTACACGATCATAGTATATAATCATCTCTTATATCTACTATACTCATATCTAAACTCATAGTACATATAAAGTCACATCACCCGAAAATAAAATAGCTATGATAGTATAATAATAAAGTCTATGATAAATCATAGAGGTATGCTGAAATAATGCGCGTAATAGAGAGTATGTATGAAGATTGAAAAGAAGGAGAGGAGAGGAGAGGAGAAGAGAGGAAAGAGGAAAGTGGAAAGAGAAGAGAAAGCGAGAGTTGATGGGGTAGGTTTATTTATTTTATTGGGTTAATTGATTATTAAGATATATTATATTAATATATTTAAATTAAATCTTTCGAGAGAACCAGGACCAAGCCCAACTTTTTATAATTTTTATTATCAAAAGTTAACTTTTTTGAAAAATATTGTTACACTCAAGAATACTGGGTAAAGTATCTTGTATTAGAAAATATTAAGTGTGACGGAAATCCCTGCTTTCCTCCCACCCTTATTATATAAGAAACCTCAGGTACATTAACCATGTCCACACATGATACGATTACTCGAGATTAGTATGCGATTTAGGTGACCTGAGGATCAGATCCGGACAAGTACTAGGTATCAATGGTTATCGGTATCAATGGTTATCCGGTAAATTAAGATCATTGGAGGAATAAATATGACTTCTTTTTGCCTAGCCATTGCGGCTAGGCCATTCATTTGTGTATATATAGAGTAGCTATCCCCATCTACAGGTGCTCTTCACCTGTAGATTCTAAGTTAAATACAATTGCTGGTCTATAAACACCCTTTTGGTCACACTAAGCTAAGGAGAAAAGAAGAAGGAAAACAAGAGTAGAGAGTTTTCCTGTGATTAAATACAAACGAGGCATGCCACGTGACCCGGAGGTGTGAGGCGTCACAAATATATATATAATTTTTCAAAATTTTAATTTGATAATTGAAATATATATTTATATTTATATTTATTTAATTTATATTTGTATATTAATAATAAAGGTTTTTATTATTATTATTATTTATTAATAAATGTTAAAAGGAATGACCTCACACAGGGAATAGTGGGAAGCTGATAGGGCAGAACTGAGGTAATATTGGTCTAGTAGGTGTTACGAGGTTTGCCGTCTAGATCACGTGGAAGTGCTTTAGGCTCTCGAGGTGGTTTATAACTAGGCGTCAAGCAGGGACTTAAAGTAATGACAATAATGATATGCAATTCGTAACTAATAGTAGAGTATACTAAATGATTGATCTTGAGCACGAAGCACTATACAAAGGAAATCCATCTTGGTTATATAG